CGAGGTTGTGGTGGCCGGGAGCGGCCACTGCACTCCAGTCTGGACGACAGAGTGAGACTTCAACTCAAAAAAAAAAAAATCTGTCTCCCCCACATGCCTTCTTAAGAAGGAAAACTAGGCATACACTCTAGTAAAATGAGGGTATAATCCAAAACTCAATATGAGCATTCTAGGAGCTCTGAGGGTGAAAAGTTTCATAGTTTGTGATGATTAAGAGCTCAAGGCTGCTGGGTGCGGTGGCTTAAGCCTATAACCCCAGCACTTTGGGAGGCCGAGGCAAGAGGATTGCCTGAGCCCAGGGGTTTGAGACCAGCCCGGACAACTTGGTGAGACCTTGTCTCTACGATAAATCAAAAAATTAGCCGGGTGTGGTGGCTCATGCCTGTAGTTCCAGCTACTTGGAAGGCTGAGGCGGAAGGATCACCTGAACCCAGCAGGTAGAGGCTGTGGTGGCTGTGAGTGTGCCACTGCACTCTAGCCTGTGTGACAGAGTGAGACTCCAACTCAAAAAAAAAAGAACTCAAGACTAGGATAAAGGAGAAAATGAGAAGCCATGCAAGGAAGTATTGGTCCAAATATGAGACAGGTCTACGATAACAGAAGAGGAAGTTGGTGGCTGCAAGGAGAATATTATGAATTATAAGCAATAGTCAGAAACTGTAGGAAAAAAACCAACTTTTGAAGAAAGGCAGGATCCAAATCTGGAGCACACCAAGATGTGCTGTGATGTTGACTGACTGGTAGAGTAAGAAAGAGGAAAATCGTTTTGAAATAAAGTTTTGCAGCCAGGCTCGGGGGCTTAACCTATATAATCCCAGCACTTTGGGAGGCCAAGGCGAGTGGATTGCCTGAGCCTGCTCGTTTGAAACCAGCCCAGGCAATTTGGTGAGACCTCGTCTCTACAATAAATCAAAAATTAGCTGGGCATGGTAGTACGTGCCTGTAGTTCCGGCTACTTGGAAGGCTGAGGCGGAAGAGTCACTGGAGCCCAGTGGGTCAACTCTGAGGTGGCCATGAGTGTGCCACTGCACTCCAGCCCAGGCGATGGAGTGAGACTCCAACTCAAAAAAATAAATAAATAAAGTTTTCTGTGACTGCAGCTGTGGAGAATGGAACATAATCATAGCTTGCTTCTGTGTAAATGCTGTCTGTTGTTGTCAGCTTCCAGAATCATTCTAGTAAAAGAGCACAGAAGACTGAAATGTGCTTCCAGAAAAGGAAGCAAATGTTCTCAGTTTTAGCAATTTAAAAGTAAAACCTAGGCTGAGGCGGAAGGATCGCCTAAGCCCAGCAGGTCGAGGCTGCGTGGGCCATGAGCATGCCACTGCACTCCAGCCTGGGCGACAGAGTAAGACTCCGACTCAGAAAAATAAAGTAAAACCTGATGAAGTGGAAGAAAGGCAAGGGGAATGAATTATTCTTTATCTTACGAGGGGGGACTCAAGAAACCTCAGAATTATATTTTGGAGGGCAAGCCCCTTGTAGTGCAGTCTTCCCCCACTGGGGAAATGTTCTCGGAATCCAGCATCAGTGTTCCAGCTAGTGTTTCTGTGAGAGGCTGCCTTGCAGAAGAAACATCCCAAGTTGCGGCAAGCAGTGTTGACTGGTTCTTCCACCATGACAATGTTCCTATCCACACTGCGCTGAGTGTTCAGCAGTTTTTGACCAAAAACAGCATAACCCCCGTCTCCCACCCTCCTTACTCACCCAATCTTGGCCCGAGTGACTTTTTTTTTGTTTTTCCAACTGGCAAAAGTCCTCAAGGGGAAATGTTTTGCTGATATGGAGGGGGTGAAGTAAAAAAACATCAGAAGCAATAAAAGGCACCGAAACTGATGAGTTTAAAAACTGTTTTAAGCAGCAGAAAAAGCATCTTGGTAAGTGGATTGTACCAGACAGAGAGTAGTTTTAAGGTCACTGGACTTTAAGCATGTAAAAACGAATACAAAATTTTTAATAAATAAATTCCAGGTGCCCCCCCATACAAAGTAGAGTTGGGAAGTGCTGTCCATAATTGATGGAACAAGAGATAGAATTTCAAGGAAATTGCCTAAGGTAACAAACATAACTAATAATAAAAAAGGAACTAAAATTAGCTATATGAGACTGGACCTGAAGACACACCTGTAATCCCAGCACTTTGGGAGACAAAGGTGAGAAGATTGTCTGAACCCAGGTATTCAAGACTAGCCTGGGCAACTTGGTGAGACCTGTCTGTGCAATTCTTCAAAAAATTAGCTGGGCATGGTGGCATGCCCCTGTAGTTCCAGCTACTTGGAAGGCTGAGGCAGAAGGATCACCTGAGCCCGGCAGGTTGAGGCTGTGGTAGCCATTAGTGTGCCTCTAACTCTAGCCTGGGCTACAGAGTGAGACGCTGACTTGGGGATAAATAAATAAATAAAATTAACTATATGATTATAATGCCAGGAGGAGAGAGATGCATTTATCCTAGAGGAAGTCAGCAGAAAATGCCTTTGTTTTAAAAATCAAGAAAATCATCTTGTAAGAATATTGCAGAGATTTGGAGGGAATCCATAATTAAAGAGATAAAATAAAAAGTAGTTCCCCTAAGGACCAAAATTGCGGGAGCTTTCATTTGATTATATTTAACTATATGCATGTATTATTTTGATAATTTTTTTTTTGAGTTGGGATCTCACTCTGTTGCCCAGGCTGGAGTGCAGTGGCATGATCACTGTGATCATACCTCACAGTACCCTCAGCCTCCTGGGCTCAGGCTCAGCCTCCCAAGTAGCAGGGTCTGTAGGCCAGAGCTACCACGTCAGGGTAATTTTATTTTATTTTTTTTGTAGAAACAAGGTTTTGTTATGCTACCCAGGCTGGTCTCAGGCTCCTGGGCTCAAGCAGTCTGCCCACCTGAACCTCCCAAAGTGCTGGGATTATAGGTGTGAGCCACTGTGCCTGGCCTGTTTTGATAATTTTTTGATACATCATCACCATTAAGCAACTCTGTTACACAACGGAATGTGTAAGTCGTAAATCTTGATAAAGTAAAAATAAGCTAACAAAAATTTATCTTTGATAGTCAGATGTCAATCAGTAATGTAATTTTTAGTGGCAATTGCAACTTTTATCTTTTTTCTTTAAATTGAAGCCATTATCTGAATATTTGACTTCCTATTATTTGTTTTATAATAGCAGTAGATAATCTATGTGAGAGTGTCAAATGATGTTCTTTCCTGGCAAAAACTATGTATTTTTAATTAATGATTCCAATCTCTTTTTTTAACCTAGAAGAGGAATCTCTTGTTGGCATTTGAAGCAGCTGAAAGTGTAGGCATCAAACCCAGCCTGGTAAGTGTCCTGTTTTATATCCTTGTCATAATTTATTCTAATTATACGAGAGAATGTTATACCATCTACTAAACAATTTTTTATAGAATATTAAAATCCATTTGCTGAAAATGTGTTACTAGTGACACCTAACAAAATAATCCAGTTGATTTGATCACATAAGATTTAGCATTTTTTAAATTAAGATTTCATTATGGATAAGATTCAGTTCTGGAAACATGGTGGACTGATTTATCACTATAGTCCTCTTGTTCAAGTCACCTAGAAATCTGAATAAAATGTAATTTAAAAAAATATCAAAACAGACCAGGTACAGTGGCTCAGGCCTATAATCCTAGCACTTTGGGAGGCCGAGGTGTGAGAATTGCTTGAGCTCACGGGTTTGAGCCCAGCCTGGGCAACTTGAAGAGACCTCATCACTACAATAAATTTAAAAAAAAATTAGCAGGTCATGGTGGCGCGTGCCTGTAGTTCCAGCTACTTGGAAGGCTGAGACAGAAGGATCACCTGAGCCCAGCAGGTCGAAGCTGTGGTGGCTGTGAGCAGCATGCCACTGCACTACAGTCTGTGCTACAGAGACTCTGACTCAAAAAAAACAAAAAACAAAAAAAATCAAAACATTAGTTGAACTTTCAAGAAAGAATGGAAAATAATCAGTAAAAGACATCAAAGCCAAAGCCATAAGGCATGATCTGAGCCCATGGCAACCCCAAGTGTGGCAGTAGAGATGAATAGGGCTTATAATAGATAGATACCTCATGGGTGTAGGACTCAGTGACTACAGACTTTATGTAATGCCCACACGGGAATAAGAGACAAGGCCATGCACTCCCATAAACAGAGCATTAGTACTGAGATCTCCACACAAAGCCAAAGTTCACAACATGCTGCTTTTCTTAGTGCAAGCAGAAATGTTTGAAACTCCACCTGCCAGTCCAAGGAGTCAATTGTCTCCACTTTGATTTTTTTTGGGGGGGTGGGGGAGGAGAGAGAGAGGGGTAGAAAATCTCTTGTAGGAAAAGAAAGCAGCGCTAGATGAGACTTTAAGTTCAAACTTATAATGTCTATGCTACATGAAGTCCTTAGCTTATACTGTCTGATTCAGGAAGCTCCTGGACATAGTAAAATAGCTGCCAAAAAATTACAAAACACTCATGAAATTGATCAACTTGAGCTAATCAGCAGTTACAACAAACAAGAGAATTATCTACCAGAACTTGAGATAATAAATAATAAGAGACTACAAAAAGACTGTACTTAAACATATTAATGAGATTAAAGGGAGAATAGCAACCGTAAGGAAGGAATATGATAGTATTAAAAAATTTGGAAACAGAATCAAGTAAAACCGCTAGAAATAAAAAATTTGGAATTAAAAACCTGTGAGATGGGTTGTCAAACTGATTAGATACAGCAGAAGAGAGAACTACTGAACTGGAAAATAAATATAAGGAAATTTCCCAGAATATAAAAGAGATATTTTTTAAAAATTTAATAGAGAGGCCTTATTAGTGTCTACTTAGCTTCAAGAAATGGAAAACCGAACTAATAATTGCTTAAACCAAGCCATAAGTATGTTAATTAATTAATTTATATATTTATTTTGAACAAGAACTCCAAAAGTACTTTCAGAATTGGTTCACAACTGAATGTTGTAATCAAGGACCCAGAGTGTCTCCTCTCTGTATTCTACCATCTTTAACCTGTTGCTTTTTGTTCCTGTACTTGTTCCTTTGTGGTTGAACGTGACTGCCAAGCTTCAGGCATCACTTCCATGTGTAGGGCAAGAAGAAGGGGTAAGAAAGCAAGTACCTCACATATTTTCCCTTGAATAAGAAAGTAAAAGGCTTCCTAGGGTTCCTCCAGCTGATTGGCAGTACTCTGTTACATGGCCATCCCAGCAGCTAGTGCATTTGAGGAAGTATGTAACATTTTAAAACTTATTTTGTGGGAAGCCTGCAAGGAAGAGAGAGATTGGAAATGACAGTTGTGTTAACCAACTAACAGTGTCCTTCACAGAGCTTAAGAGACAAGGAAGATAAAATGAGACAATGTTCATGTTCCATGTTCAGTGGGAATTCCAGATGAAGATGATAGGAAGAGTGAAATAGAGATAATATTTGAAGATATGGCCCTGAAATTTTTCCAGAATGATAATAAAGGACAGTCAAGTATAGAGTCTTAATTATTCTCAAGCAGAATGAATAAAACAAAATATCCATCCAGGCATATCATAATGAAACTGCAGAAAAAGCAAAGACAAAACAGATAATCTGTAAAAAATTTATGCTACCATTAATAAAAAGACAACCTATTAGGAAGTTATCAAAGACTAGAATAGACAGTCACAGAAGAGGATCACAAATGGCCAGTAAACATTTTTAAAAGATGTTCAGTCTCCTTAGTAATCAGGAAAATCCAAGTTGAAATAACAGTGAGACACAATTCCACACTCTCAAAGGATATGAGGAATCTGAGAAATGAAAAAGAGAAAGTACAGCTGTCATAGAAGTCTGTGTCAGGAACATTGTTATGCTAGTATAAATTTGAAACAATGGACAGTTTTCCAGAAAAATAGAAATATATTTCTTCAAATAGTAGATGTAAATATTTCTTCAAAACTTACTCAAAAAGAAGTAAAACTTTAACCATTAAAGAAATTGAATGCATACTTTAAAATGTAGTCACACACATAAAGAATGTGCCAGTAAGCCTCAATTCTACTAAATCTTTAAAAAACAGATACCCCTATTATATATATGCAAGTCCAGGGAATTTAAATAGGAGTAAGGGAACTTACACATCTGACTAGGGTGGAGTAACAGAGATCTCCCTTAGGAAACAAATTAAACAATTAACAAGTAGCAGAGACTTCCCATAAGGATCAAAGATATAATAATGAGAACTTGTTAGATTATATTATACACAGAATGCATTTTTCTTTGTAGTGTTGTAGTCAACATTTGATTCTTTTTAAATTTAATACATTTTAAAATTTTCATCTAAGGCACTATAGAAGTTAGTGAACTGGGGCAGTGAATGAGACCGTCTTGTTGTACAAATGCCCTATGAGGAGCTGCTGATACATATGATAATTAATCTCAAAAGCATTTAGGAATGTTTGTGAGCACTTCAACCAGTTTATACCACCAACAAAATAAAAATGTCCTACATTCTTAAAGTTGCTTTTCAATACCTAGTCAGAAGTGACCACAGTAATAATCCCCAGTCTCGGTGGGGGATGAGGGATGAGAAACGCCTTAAGGGATACGATATGTACGTTATTTGGGTGAGGGTTACACTAAAAGCCCACACTTCTTCATCATTACACAGTATATGGATGTAACAAAACTGTACTTGTGCCCTTAAATTTACACAAATTTTTTAAAATGCCAAATCTTCTATCAAGTTCTATTGTTAGATTACACAGGAAAACTTTTCTTTTTTTTGAGTTGGAGTCTCACTCTGTCGCCCAGACTGGAGTGCAGTGGCCGCTCCTGGCCACTGCAGCCTCCATCTGCTGGGCTCCAGCGATCCTTTCACCTCAGCCTTCTGAGTAGCCGGAATTACAGGTGCACGCTACCACGCCCAGCTGATTTTTGATTTATTGTAGAGATGAGGTCTCGCCAAGTTGCCCAGGTGGGTCTCGAACCCGTGGGCTCAGGCAGTCCACTCACCTCAGCCTCCCAAGGCATGGGATTATAGGCTGAGCCACCGAGCCTAGCAAACTTTTCACTTACATGTATATATTCAAGTAATGTTTCTGGGTACAGCATATTAGCAAGGATGAGATCTGTAAAAAGTAAAGTTCTACAGCATACCCCAATTTTAGAAAACATTCCTCCTCAGCCACTGTGTAATAAGAGGGTCTTAGCCCACCACATCACAAGTGTGAGCAATTCCCAAAAGAAAGAATTAGGTGGTATGGGCAACCCCTTTGGGTTCCCTCCCACTGTGGGAGCTTCTCAGTCCTCTCAATAAATCCCGCTTTCTCAAAAAGAATTAGAATTAGGTGAGAGAGGATATGTGGCATTATGATCATAAAAACAGCCAAGAATGTGTGTCTTCCAGGGCTACTGTGTCTGTATCTTGATGAGAGGACACTTCCACACCAAGCCATTTAGTCCCTGAAAGCTTTTTCTCACTGAGTGAGCCAGTGTGGCCACCAGGACAGTCACTGCTCACACAGACTGAGCTCTTAAGGTCCCTGTGGAGCGAGGTCATCACAGCCCAAGATTTTATGAGGCTATCAAAGTGATTCTTTAGGTATGACTGAGCCTACTCCGCAACATAAACCTGGCAAGGTATACTTAAATAGTTATCTTGCGCTGAATTACATAAAAGCCATTTTTGGGGGGAAACTACCAGGGGAAGCGGGATTGGCAGTGGTGGGAGTCTGCCTGAGGAAGGGGGAACACACCCCATCAACAAGGGTACCTGCATAATGAACATTTGTATACCTAGCCCCGAGCCGTATCCCACATCTTTAAAATAAAAAAATTAAAAGTAAAAAAAAGAACACCTTTTTTTTTTCCAAATTGACTATGTGCCAGGCATCATTCTGGGCATTTTCCCTGTATAGACTCATTGAACCCCCCCCCAAAATTCCCCTGAGGTAGATGCACTTTACAGGGGTCACTGAGGCACATGACGTGTAAGCAGCAAAGGCAAGAGGCAATGCCAGGCAGGCTGCCTCCAGAGCCCACACCCTTAACCACCGTGACAGCTGTGTCCACTTTCTGGGCTCTTAAAATACAATTTATCCATGGCACCATATAACACATGCCCTGTTATATTATAATTTATCTGCTCATATGGCATATCCCCCACTACCACCACCACCTCCCCAAGATCAAGAGCAAGAAGCTATATCTTTTTTTAAAATTGTTTTTTATTGTGGTAAAATACACATTAAGATTTACCATCTTGACAATTTTTAGTTTACAGTTCAGTGGCATTAAGTACATTCATATTATTGGTATAGCCATCACCACCCTCTATCTCCAGGATACTCTTCATCTTCTCAGAATGAAACTGTCCCCATTAAACATTAACTCCTCATCCCCTCAGCCCCTGGTAGCCACCATTCTACTTTCTCTCCGTGAGTTTGACTGCTCTAGCTACTTCACACAAGTGGAATCATACAGTATTTGTCTTTTTGTGGCTGATTATTCCATTTAGCGTAATGTTCTCAATGTTCAGCCATGTTTAACAAGGCTAAATAGTATCCAATTATATGACTATACCACAGTTTGCAGATGATTCGTTTCATCCTTTGTTGAACACTTGTGTTGCTTCCAAGTTTTAGCTATTATGAATAGTGCTGCTGGGGACATGGTGTACAAGTGTCTTATTTTTTAATAAATAAATTAAATGTGCCTAGAACATGCCAAGTAGTAGATTGCTATTACCAAATATGTGCTATTACTTAAATAAAATATATGGCTATAGTAGATTTCTAATGTTAGTTACAAGTTTGTCAACACCAAGGAAGTTCTTAGTCAGTGTGCTTCAAATGAAGTTTCTTTTTTTTTTTTGAGTTGGAGTCTCACTCCGTCGCCTAGGCTGGAGTGCAGTGGCACACTCACGGCCACCCCAGCGTCAACCTGCTGGGCTCTGGCGATCCTTCTGCCTCAACCTTCCAAGTAGCCGAAACTGCAGACATGTGCTACCACACCCGGCTAATTTTTGATTTATTGTAGCGACAAGGTCTCGCCAAGTTTCCCGGTCCGGTCTTGAACCCACGGTCTCAGGCAATCCACTTGCCTCAACCTCCCAAGTGCTGGAATTACACTGAGCCACCGATCCCAACAAGTGAAGTTTCTTTTCATCCTGGCTGGAGCCCTTTTCTCTTCCCTTTTCCTTGTTCTGTCTTCAGCATCCCATGAATCAGATACTTATCCCATACTAATCTGTCCCATGGTTATTCACACCAAACCACATTGGAGAACCATTTCCTCATATCAGAGTTGACATATGAGTTACAAAGGGTACTTAGTCTCTGTATCGACAAAGCTATTAGCCTTTAAGTTCCAAATCAGCTTCATATGTGAATTATATCAAATACTTAAGGAAGAAGTAACACCAATGCTATACAATCTCTTCCAAAAAATAAAAGAAGCAGGGACACTCTCAACTCATTCTCTGACACCAGCATTACCTTAATACCAAAACTGAGTAGAGACAGTACAAGAAAACTACAGATGTTTCTCACATTGCAAAAGCCAGACCTAAGATACAGGTCTGCCTGTATCTATCTAGTAGGCCCTAATTTTTTTTGTTTAAGTCTGTGTCTCACTCTGTTGCCCAGGCTGGAGTGCATTGGCATAATCATGGCTCATCACAGCCTCTACCTCCTGGGATCTAGCAGTCCTCCTGCCTCATCCTCCCAAGAAGTTGGGACTATAGGTGCACTGCCATGCCCAGCCTTTGTTTTATTTTATTTTTAAGTGGAACAAAAATTTGAAGAATCTTGTGAAGCAGACTGACTGCAGAACCCATCTAGATGTTTACAGTTGTTTCCAATCTTTGTTATAACACTTTTCAATGTGAAACATAAAATACATACAGAAGAAAATACAGGCCACAGCAGGAGAATTGTTTGAGCCCAGGAGTTTGAGACAAGCCTGGGCAACATAGTGAGACTTCATCTCTACAAAAAAATTAGGTGGTCATGGTGACAGTCGCATGTAATCCCGGCTTCTTTGGAGGCTGAGGCAGAAGAATTGAGTCCAATAGGTTGAAGCTGTGGTGAGTTGTGATTGTGCCACTGCACTCCAACCTGGGTGACAGAGTGAGTCTCTACCTAAAAAAAAAAAAAAAAAGAAAATATAAATTCATAATTTAATGGTATTTTGGAAGGTTTTTAACTACTAACTCAAATGTCATATGTTATAAAATTGTTACTAAGGCAGCATACTCCCTTTTCTCCAGAAATGTACAAAATATTTCTTCAAATATTTTCAAATGTGCTATTAACAGTGTTCCAAAATATTTTTAATTCAGTTGTTGTTAGGTTCAAGCATATAAGATAATCTAAGTAAAACTGGGAATGTTGGTTGGACTTCGGAGTCCTCGGAGATTAAAGACACATTCTTTCCATCATACAGAGGAGAGTTTGCCATCTTTCTTGAGTTTGTGGGCATTCCTCCTTTCTCAGAGCTCATCCACTTCCCAGACAGCAGTCCAGGTAGAAGGAGACTTTTCATCCTTGTGTTCTGTAAGAGTTTTGTTTTTCTTTTTAAATTGTTCTAGTTAAAGCCGGGCTCGGTGGCTCAGCCTGTAATCCCGCGCCTTTGGGAGGCTGCGGTGAGTGGATTGCCTGAGCCCACGGGTTCGAGACCGGCCTGGGCAACTTGGTGAGACCTCATCTCTACAATAAATCAAAAAATCAGCCGGGCATGGTAGCACGCGCCTGTAGTTCCAGTTACTTGGAAGGCTGAGGCGGAAGGATCACCGGAGCCCAGCAGGTTGAGGCTGCGGTGGCCGGGAGTGTGCCACTGTCCTTCAGCCTGGGCGACAGAGTGAGACTCCAACTCAAAAAAAAAAAAAAAATTGTTCTAGTTAGCTGGGTGTGGTGGTGTGTGTCTGTAGTTCCAACTACTTGGAAGGCTGAGGCGAAAGGATTGCCTAAACCCAGCAGGTGAGGCTGCAGTGGGCCATGAGTGTGCCACTGCACTCCAGCCTGACAAAGAGTAAGACTCCAACTCAAAAAATAAAAATAATAAATAAATAAAATTGTTCTAATTATAACTGTGTGGACTGTTCCACTCTCTCCTTTTCCACCCCTTTCTTGTGACTAAGATATGCTGATAGATTTTTAGCATAACTTGAGAGCAGAATCAAGAAGCATTCTTAATGTTGTTGAATCAGAGAATAAATGGCTTATTAACACCTTCGTCACCGCCCAGGAGCAGATGTGTGAAGTTCAGCCTTATTTTTTTACTGCGTTTCCGCCTCTGGCTTTATATCCGGGTTCTTTCTTACTGTTCTGTCATGAGCACAAAAGAATCCCAACTCCATCCCACAGTTAATAATTAAACATGTTCAGTGGTACTGATTTCAGAAACACTCAACTGAGTGCCCTAGTGTGCACCTAACCCTCTTGCCCATCACTTTCTGGCCTCTACTTGATATGTGCTTGTGGCAAACTTACTTGCAAAATTAGCACAAATAAATACATTAACAAATTAGGGGGAAAAAAAGCAACAATCACTGAACTAACAAAAAACTGACTGAATGCTGGTAAAATAAATGGCTGCATTTTAAGTTGGTTCAAGGCTTTTGTGATAATCCCACTGTAGGAATTTATCTTAAGGAACCAATTCAACAGAATGAAACAATACTGCACAAAGATGCCTATTGCAAAGTCTGTAATGGTGACGAAGTGAATATAAACTGCACATCATAGCCAGGCATGGTGGCTCACTCCTATAATCCCAGCACTTTGGGAGGCAAGAGGATTGCCTGAGCCCAGGGCTTCAAGACCAGCCTGGGCAGCTTGGTGATAATTCATCTATCCAATAAATCAAAAAAATTCTCTGGGCGTGGTGGCACAAGGCTGTAGTTACAACTACTTGGAAGGCTGAGGTGGAAGGATTGCCTGAGCCCAGCAGGTCGAGATTGCAGTGACCATGAGTGTGCCACTGCACTCCAGCCTGGGCGACAGATTCTGGCTCAAGAAAAAAAAAACCGCACATCATGTCACTCATGTACAGCAGTTCCCCTGGACAAAGAACTTTCACTAGGAAGGCAGCCAACAGAACGATGCAGCAGAATGGGGAATCAAGTATGAAAGTGCTCAGTGAAAAAGCACGTCCACTGTACTAGATCCCAGGAAATTAGGGGTATAGATTAAAATGTACTCTAGAAAAGTGGAAATCATTTTAATAGTGAAACTGTGGTGACTTTTTCTTTTTAAAACTTTTTAAAATGTCATCATATGATTTAAAAATGAAAGCAATGATAGGTCATGTCTTCTATTTTTGAAAGGGACAATAGCTTCTAAATAAACAAGAAGAAAGGGCTTTTCTTTTAACTCCTCACATTCAGTCCCGCCTGTGTTGGCCTTCACCTTCCATCCATGTAAGTGGAGGGATTCCAGACAGTGTAAGCCCTAACCTGGATCTGAGTCCCTTGTGTGGAAGGGATCTGTGATGTCCCCCTTTGTGACCTGTCCCCATCTTCTTCCCCTGCAGGAGCTCAGTGAGATGCTATACACAGACCGGCCCGATTGGCAGAGCGTGATGCAATACGTGGCCCAAATTTACAAATACTTTGAGACGTAACCCCAGTGGACCTGAGAGCAGCTGCCACCACCGCCCTCTACGGTTTGTCCTGGAAGCGCCTGGTCACTGTCCACCAACAGTGCTGTGCCCAGCATCCAGCCGTCTGAATTTCAAAGGAAGGCTCAATCCAAGTGGACTAACACAAATAAGAAACAGAGCGAGTCCCACCATGTACTTCTCTCAAACGCAAATGCACTTGGCATGTAAATTGGGGGTGCTTTTCTCTCCCACTTTCATGTATGAAAGGGCTCAGTGAAAAAGCACGTCCACTGTACTAGACAGGATGTTTCTAATGTCTAAAGAGGTTGGCCCCTCACCTTCCAGACCAAGATCCCATACCCAGGTTCATTTTGCCTATCGCATTTGGTGACTTAACATGTAATCTGCAGAGAAATTCATGACACAGCATCTCCACATCAGTCTTCTTTTTTTTTTTTGACTAAAAAACCCTTTGCCTTTATAAAGACTTTGCCCTTGCCAACATCTGTCTTCTCTAAAAAACAAAAAAACAGAGAAACATTGGCTCCAGAGTGACCTGGAAACACATTGGCCCTGCTTTCTGGGGAAATATGCTGAAGTTCTAAGTAATAATTTTAACACCTAGAATTTGATTACATTCTTCAGATCTCCCAGTCCCTTATTTAATTCATTGAATCAAAGTAAAGCATATGAGAAGTTAAAGGAGCCCCTGGGTGTTTTGCCAAAGGGTCCCTGTGGCAGCTGCTGGGCAGGTCATGTACACGCTGAAAGGAAAATCACAGCCCTGTCCACCCACGCCTTTGTCCTCCCATTAATTCTCCCATTCACACCCACACATGCTGGTTCCACACAGAGAACTTGACAGGTCACTTGTGTGTGTGAAATGGCCTGTGTCTGCCAGGTTTCATGTCTCTGCACTGTTAACAGGCTAAGGATGTGTATCTCTGGGAATACTGGGAAGACAGAAAATCTAAACAGTATTTCCGTTTTAGAAGGTCTTGATCTTTAGTACTTCACTAGGCTTCTTACATTTGCGCAGCAAAAAGAGCAGTGATGGCCCCATTTATAAATGAACAAAGAGAAATGTGATTGCTTGGAATATCCTACTGGTTACCCTGAGTGGTAGCACAGCTCTCCCCCGAGCTGCCCCAGTCCCCTTAGAAGTACTAGGTCCAACCCAGGTAACTACCATCTGGTGGTTCTGTAGTATTCTTCTGGGGCAGGTAGACATGCCTTCTATAGAAAGTGAGGGTGCAGTTCACACAGGTAGTTGAGGTAAATGTGTAATGTGCATTACTTGCTGTTTTAAGTGCCAAAATAGCCTTGTTGGTGCCCGTCTGACAAAGGACCATCCTTACAATAAGTAGCTCCGTCCCCTCCCTCCAGGACAGACCTTTACAGAGGTGGTGTCTGGGCTCTGCAGACCAGTGCCTCCCTGAGTCTCAAGCTGCCACGACTGCCTTGGGACCTTGGGGTGAGAGACTCTGCCCCCACACTACTCTGTTTGTGGTTCCCAGCTGTGACTCTGTATCAGAATCTCCTGGGACCATTTTGAAAACACACTCCTGGCCTGCCCATCAGTCAATTCAGAGTATCTGGAAAGGGACCAGAGATGCATTCTATACATTTTCCAAGGTCTTTGGGAAAGGCTCTGTCCTGGTGACTCTGATGAAGAGCTGCAGTGAGAGCCACTGAGGGGTGGGGGTACTACCTCTCTCAGTGGCCCCCAGGACAGTTCAACCTGCAGGAGCTCCTGAGCAGCTGTTTGTCAAGCGGTGTTCGTTCCTCCACCAGCCCCTTTGTTTTTAAATGAAGCTTGGGGCCCAGTTGGAACCAGTTTAGCCTGCTCTTTCCTGATGAATGTATCCAAATGAAAGTGAGTACTGGTGCTCCTTTATGCACCTGTCTTTTGTTGACATAACTGATGTATTGTCCATATCTCCAAACTTCTGCTTTGCTCACTATTAAAGTGGGGAAAAGTAATATCCCAAGTAGTTGAGTTGAGCTGTCAGTGGTTGTTTAAGCTGGAATTACTCCAGGGTTTCGTGTGGGAGAAGCAATTGAGGCCTTGGGATTGGCTCTCTGTTTTGAGTGATTACGAGTAAATGATCTAGAATCAGCTCTGGGCAAAGCCATCTGAATGCCCGGTGATGTTGCGGTTTCCCTCCCTCCACATTGGGGCCATACCTGCCCCTCTCCTATGGGGGCCTGCATTTCCAGTAACTTAGACTCCCTGATTCTTGTCTGTATCCTGCTCCCTTTAGGCTAAAAAGAAGGAAAGAGATGTCGTATCAAAGAAAGGCCATGTGCAATTTATTTTTATAACTCACGGAGGTTCCATGACGACCATTTTCTTTGCCAGCGAGAATGCATGTAGAAGAAGAATGACCCTGCCTGGGTCTTGGGGTGTGACAGACGGTATCAGGGTGTAGGACAGGCCTTCCAGCACAGCAGCTAGTGAGGTCTCCCCAAGCGAGGTGCCATCAGCTGGCGTGTAGAGGTGCAGGGCCAGGGGAGGCAGTCCCACTTGGGCCAAGGGTTAGGGTTTTTAGGTCCGTTTTTAACTGGAGAGCTCAGAGCACAGGTGAATGTGGAAAACTGATAAACCAAGGAAACAGCATCTTATATTTTCTTTACTTCTACTCGGCAGATTGTACCATTCCCAGTGTTGTGTTCTGAGGCTTTAAAAGGCCATGATAGCCATGTTTCTTTCATCTTCTCTCAGCCAATACTTAGTCATTGAAAATTATATGGTAGTTCTGCAAATCCCTTTTTTCATATAAAATCTTTATATAAAAGACAGCTGCAAAAATGCAAGCCCCAGAAGAGTGGAGAAGTTTAAGACATAAAGAAAAGTCTGTGATTCTCTGCACTGTGAGTTTTTGTGGCTGGAGTTTTAGTTGAGTGATGGTAGCGCTGTGGGCCCACCCTGCAGAAAGAACATTCTCATCCTAGTCCCTCCTCACTTCAGAAACAATTTTAGCCTTTTGTTTTCCTTCTTCATTCGGTTGTTATTTTATAGCCTTTGTAGAGACCGTCCCAAGTAGATTCCATGGGCGTTAGACAAAAATTCACATCCCCAAGGGATGAGCCAGCTAGCAATGACAAATCTGCCCTGTTCTCTTTCCTGCCACCCACAAACATCAGCAGAAACTTTGTCAATCTCTCCTGTCCCGTTTCCCCATTGAGGGATGAGCAGGCATTTCCTCGGCCTGTGAAGATAGAGGACTCAGGTCACTAGATACAGACCCCATGCCAAATCCCGTGGTAGTTCTTACCATTCCAAAGGTCCCGTGCCATTTTGAGATGACCTACCAATGACATGCAGTAAAGGATAGAACCTTGCAGCCTTTTTAAAAAGTATTTTTAATATCTACAGTTGCCTGAATTCACTGGGTATTTCCCTTCTCTGACCCAGGTTAGAGTTTTGCTAAATCTGTAACATCCTGTGTAGCTCACTAATTTTAACTACATAAGTTGAATGCATTTGATACAACTGCGGCCCTCTGTTTCTATAAAGAGCACACTAGGTTGTAACAAGCACTGTCAGGATATGATGTGCTAACATAGATGTATTTAGCTATTAACAGAAAAGTGTATGATGTATGACTGTGTAATATTTCTAATAAATATATTTTGTTTCTGTCTGATTACGATTTTTTTCCCCAGTGACATTTATCATGAATATTTTCTCGAAGTGCCAGGCTTACACTGAATCTGTTTTCAGGCCAACATCTTCATGCGCATATTCCTTGTCAGGTCATCGTCACCACTGCAGATACTCGTGCAGGTGGCGCCGGAACTTTCCACAGCTCTTCCTGCCAGCTCCTCCACCCCCCCGCCCCACCCCCATTTGTAGCACTCTTGCAGATGCTACAGGCTTTTATGGAGATCACCCTTCAGGGCCCACCCAGGGTGCTACCGATATGCACGGGACATGTGCAGTGTCATACATGTGCCTAAATGCCAACTGAGACCCTGGAAACCACATGTAGGGGAGTGTTAAGCAGGAAGGAATTATGCCAAAATTAAGGAGGCAAGGGGAAGATAAATTTTAACTGGCGGGATGCCCGTGTGTTTGACACCAGGGCACTGTGTATGCTGATGCAGCAGGTGACAAGGGGCTCTTTTTTTTTTTTTTTTGAGTTGGAGTCTCTGTCACCCAGACTGGAGCACAGTGGCATGCTCCCGGCCACTGCAGCCTCAACCTGCTGGGCTCCGGTGATCCTTCTGCTTCAGCCTTCCAAGTAGCTGGAACTACAGGCGCGCGCTACCACGCCCGGCTAATTTTTGATTTACTGTAGAGATGAGGTCTCACCAAGTTACCCAGGCGGGTCTCGAACCCGCGGGCTCAGGCAATCCACTCACCTCAGCCTCCCAAGGCACGGGATTACAGGCTGAGCCACCGAGCCCGGCGACAAGGGGCTCTTTAGGCATTACCTGGGAGCCACTGTTGAGACGCTAAAAATCACCTCTACCCATCTTAGTTCTTAGGTGGGATCTTTGGATGGGCCTAGGAATCGTTAACACAAGACAAGTTAATACAAGAAAAACATACAAGTTTTAATTTTTACATGTGCATGGGGACCCTCACAAGAAAAGTGAAGACCTGAAAACACAGCCAACGCAGGAAGTCCTTATACTTTTTGGACAAAGAATGATAAGTTTGTGAAGAAATGACAAGACAAAGGGATCTGGGCTAGGGGAAGTAAATTCTAGAATGCCACTAGGAGGTGTGTGGGGGCTGTGAAGCTGGAAGAAGATAAGGATTTCTTCAGTGAGCTTATATGTGCAGGTCCACTGCAGCAGCAATTCCCAGTCTCTGGTGATAAAGGTTTTCTCCCCCTGGTATGGGGAAGGCATCTTTCTCCAAGGAATTTTTTTTTTTTTTTTTTTTTTTTTTTTTTGAGAAAGCAGGATTTATTAAGAGGACAGAACAGGTCCCAGCGTGGGAGGGGACCTAAGGGGTTGCCTTCTCCAAGGAATTTTTATGACCTGTTACTATAGGAAAGGACACTCAAGTAGCCTTTTCTGCAACTACAGTTTCTCAAGCGCTTTCAGTATGAAACAATCAATGTGCTAAGTTGGCATATTTTGAGGTGGCCCATCCTTAACTCTTTCACTACAAGTCACAGTCTGGTATCTTAGGCCACCAGAGAGAAGAAAGGAGCCGCCTCTTCACTTCCTTCTCCCAGGGTAGCTCCACTGCCCAACCATTTTCTCCTGAGGGCCTCTCCATCTTCTCAG